TTTTTTCCTTTTTCTTAGTTTTTTATTTACAGTTTTATCTTTACTTTCTCAGTCCTCTCACGTTTTTTTCACAGCATTGAGCGTAATCTAAAGAGCTAATATAGACAAAAACCAAGGAAATACTTAGCTTGTCTTCATTTCTCTTTGCATCAAATGCTCACTTCACACAGCACTTCCTTTTGACTATTTTGTTTCTCATATGAACAGATAAAGGCAAAAAAATTTTTAACACAGTCTTTTCACAGCTTTCCACAGCATAAGCAGTAAGTAGGGAGTAAAAGAAAAGGGAGTACTTAGCTTATCTTTAAATCTCTTTAAATCTCTTTTCTCTTTACGTTCTCTTTACATCCATTACTCCTTTTCACACAGCTTCACACAGCTTCTTTTTGATTATTCCGTGTGAACAACTATGAACAACTATGAGCAGGTACATACATCTTATAGGGTTTCAGCTAATTGTCGGCATCTGCAACTGCATCAGTGGTATTAGGAGTAGTTTAATGGCATCAGTGGTATTAGCGATATCAGCAGTATCAGCGGTATCGAAGACATCAAATGTTAGCCGCTCTCAGACTTGCTATACTGCCGGGTTTCTTTCACGCCGTTCGAGCTTCAATCTTGCCTCATGCAATCTAAAAGAACGCCGTTCCTCCTCCATTACCGGGTCAACCTCCCCGCCTCCGGATGCGTGCGTACCTCCGCCCACCTCTACGTCATCACGCAAAAGCTATTCAATCTATAACAGTGAAAAAAGTGTTTTTTGTTTTTAAATCCAAGCTTTGTGTCACCAGATCTAATTGGTGGCACTGGTCACCGTATCCACTGATAGCGTAACACACCCGCTTTAAGGACACTAACTGCTATTCAATCTATAACAGTGAAAAAGAGTTTGTTTTTTTTAAATCCAAGCTATTGTGACACCAGATCTAATTGGTAGGCACTGGTCAGCGTATCCACTATTGGCGTAAACACGCCAGCTTTAAGGACGCACCGAGCTGCTATTCAATCTATAACAGTGAAAAAATTTGTTTTTTTGTTTTAAATCCAAGCTATTGTGACGCAGATCTAATTGGTGGCGCAGTCACCATATCCACTGTTAGGCGTAACACACACCGCTTTAGGACACTGGCTGCTATTCAATCTATAACGGTAGAAAAGTGTTTTTTTTAAATCCAAGCTTTGTGTCCACCAGATCCCTGAGTGGTGGCACTGGTCACCGATATCCGCTGTTACGTAACACCTGCTTGAGAGATAACTAACTGCTATTCAATCTATAACAGTGAAAAAAGAGTTTGTTTTTTTAAAATCCAAGCTATTGTGACACCAGATCTAATTGGTGGCACTGGTCACAATATCCACTGTTAGCGTAACACACCTGCTTGAAGATAACTAACTGCTATTCAATCTATAACAGTGAAAAAAGTTTTTTGTTTTTAAATCCAAGCTATTGTCACCAGATCTAAGTGGTGGCACTGGTCACCGTATCCACTGTTAG